GTCTTTTAAACTGTTTCGCTTTTGGGTTCATAGCCCTTCTCATTTTACTATTATTTAATTTATTTTTTAATTTTTTTTAAACACAATTTTGTAATTCTAAAACCTGTAAAATATGCAGCAAACTGAAATATTTGTATGTCCTATGTATTACATAGAAGATAGAAGTGTAAAATAATTACTGAATCATAACGGCCGAATGTCTAAGGGCTTTCAAGTCTTATTGATAAGCGCTATAAATAGCATGTATCCAATCGAACCGTGTTCAATCGTGTGCAAAGTAACGACAAAAGTAACTGTAAATTTCGTTACCGTTACCCAAAAAATGTAACTCGTTACCGTTACAGTTACCAAAAAAAGAAAGTAACGCAGTTACCAGTAAAGTTACCAAAAAAGTAACTTGTAACTGTAACTTCGTTATAAGTAACGAGTTACTTCCATTCCCTGCGTATGCATTTATAATATAGTTATTATTAAACAAAAAGAGCAAATAGTTTGAAATTTATATAAATAGGGATAAAATGTGATGTTTTTCACGCTAAGCCGCCATTGATGTTATATTTAATCTCTTCTCTTCGCCAAGGGTGAAAACCCTTCTTATTCCTCTTCTGCTTGCATGAGCGACTCGATTTGTATCTCATGCAAGAATGGTTCAAGTAAACGACATTTTATTTCGTACTCGAACGATGGCTCCGAAATATTTGCTCGTTCACTAAAGTGCACTTGTGTGATTTTTTTTTTTAAGGATGACAGACCTGAATTATCTTGGCCAAAAAAGAAGAAATTATAATGAAAATTCTTTATTACACATAAAAGTATTTCGAATATAACAGCCAAAGTCTTACAAAAATATTTGTTTAAAAATTTATTTTAAAAATTAAACTTGTTATTTACTATTAATTATTTAATTTTTTTCGATATTTAACATGCTAATAATATTACTTCGTGTCACATACATCCCTCAATTGCTAATAATGATATAACAGACAATTGTAATTTTTAATATGTAGAAGAAGAGCTGCTTTCATGAAACTATATTCGGAATTTTTCAGGATTTTTTAAAGGAAAGTCTTTAGTGAAGCTTTGCGATTTCAAAAGATTGTAAAAAATTCATAGACTATATCCGATTTTTTTTTCAAACTGACTTTCTCGAGACTTTGTTAAAGCGAAAGAACTCATTTCAGTAAGACACGAACATGTTACATGATGTAATACAATTTGCCTCAAGACCTTAAGACCTTCAACATAAAGGGTCGGCTAATCGCGTTAGACGATATCTTGGACTATTAAAAGCATTACACTGCTTTCCGCAGCCATTTGTAGTCAGTTAACTCGCAATTAAGTGCAAACTCGGCATCGCTCTGCATTCGTGGATTAATAAATCATGCCCGCTATTTCTCTAAAGAATAAATCGACGTGATTTGTTTATGTCGAGCACAACGATGCGATTTTGCACGGCAGTTAGTTTCACAGTCGCCTCGTTAATATGACATAAAAAAATCTCCGCGGAACTTGCTGTTGAATATTAGTGGGGATTTTTTTAAGGATTAAAAGTGGAATTGTAACACGAATCAAGATTTAAAGATAAAAACAAATTACGACATTTCTAATCTTATCTTTTTAAATTAAGATTTAAGGATTAGGAGGAATTAATTGTTATACATTCCTAATCTTATCTTTTATTTTCTCGTTCAGAGAGAAATCCATCATCCTCCGGAAAATATTAAACATGCAAGGCTGCAATTTATATTCCCCTGCAGGGACGCTCCGATTGTCATATTGAGGAGCATTACATTGAAATAAATTTGCAATGAAGCGAAAGGGATAGTCGCATGCATAGTATAAATGAACGAGGATTAAATCTCGCGTGCAAAGGTGCTTCACTGTCAAGATAACAAGCATTAGTTGGTTTAATTATAACGCCGCTAAATGAAGTTCTCCGCCTTAACGAGCTTTCGTTCCGTTGCACTTGTATAGTTTCATATTACTGCTACGTATTATGAAAGCTCGACACATGCTATACATAACTGATATCTCAGCTAATTTTTCTCATGTGTGGAATTCTCGAAGGAATCGTTTCCTCGAAGGAAAGTTTTCACAATACTCGAGAAATTTATTTAAGAGATCTTCTCTGAAATGTTAAGCTTTTTCTTCTCTCTGGAGGCTTGTCTCTTATAGGATATATTTTTTATTGGAAGGTACATAAGTTTCTCAGATATTCATATATCTGACGCTTTCAATTTATTAAAAATATTAAACTTTAAATATAAATTAATAATATATATTAATATAACAATTAATTTAAAATTGATTAAACATATGAGTTTTTTTCGTTTTAAATAATATATTTACAGTAATATAAATTTAATGAATACTTAATTATTTTTAATTTTATTGTTGCGTAAATAATACACGGCCAAGCATTGTCGATTTTTCTACTATATTGTTGTAATTAATAATTAATAGCGTTACCAAGCTTGCGTGTTCGAATCTTATTGCTTGTTTCTAGAAGTTTATTAACGGAATTTATAGCAAGATTTTTTATATAAAGAAGCGCGGCATATCGATGTGTGCCTATGACATATTGACATTTTCATGTTGTTCCACACGTGTTATCCGTGTGTGCACAAAATAACCTAGCAAAATTATATTCTTTACAATTTCCTTAATAGATATCTGTTATAGAAAAAAATACAAATAATATACAATATTTAATACTAAAGACCGTTAATGTAAAAACATAACTAATACAAATACGAAGCCTATAACAGTCTAGCTTTGATCTTTTAATCGCTTATATGTAAACTACTGCGGTACTATCACGAATTAAAATAAATTAATAATTAACTAATATACGTAGTCCCCCCAAATTGCGCGCCGAACAATCGTCGGTTTTGAAACGCAACTCTAATAATCTGAAAATACTAAATCTGGAAAATTATTCTTATTGCGAAAAATATTACCTCGGCCAGGAGTCGAATCCGGACACCTTGCTTTACGCGCAAGTATCCTATCCAATTAGATTACCGAGGCCTTAGTAATATTCCTCGCAATAACTGGTATATGTGTGAAATGATAAACGCTTTCTTTCAGGCGCGTAAATAAACAATATTCAATACTAAAGACTGTTAATGTAAGAACATAACTAATACAAATACGAAGCCTATAACAGTCTAGCTTGAATCTTTTAATCGCTTACATATAAACTACCGCGGTACTATCACGAATTAAAATAAATTAATAATTAACTAATATACGTAGTTCCCCCAAATAATATAGAAATAATTAATTTCTTATTCACTATTTTTGTTATACTTATATAATTCGAAAAATATTGAAAAGCATTAATAATTAATTATATAATAAAAAAGATATAAAACTGATTTATTCAATAATTCTTCTCTATTTTAAGTAACATCAATGTTATAAGAATAATAATTATGAAGAGTTTATGTTATATTAACTTTTTATATACTTCAAAAATTTTGATTTAATCTGTTCAACTAAGAGTATTTTGCATGCCAAACGATATTTTAGTTTCCGTACTCAATGAAAATTGATGACTATCCCGCTGAGACTATACTGGCGACAATATAGAAAATAGTATACGCTTCCAAGAAGAAGTCTTCAATTATGCTTTCTGACACTAATGTGCGCCTGCAAGTTGTACAGTTATCCGATACTTAATTATCCAAAGTAATAAATCGATTTCCGCAACGTTGTCCTGTCGTTCGTTGAGTTCGAAACAGTACGAGACAACTCGCGTTTAAACATCTGACAATTTTTAACGTCTCCAATGAATTATGTAATTATGCATAACGAGAATTGAATCTGATATATAATAAGAGGTTAAATTTTTTAAATCTATTAATCTAAAAATAGCTACAAATCATTATTTATAAAAAATCTATACAGCTATACCTAATCTATTCAGATCAATATTTTATCAATTATTTTTTTCTTAATTTATGTACCATGATATTAGGAAATTATTTTAAATACATATCAAATAACTCGATAACATATATCGTTTAGTCAAAAATGTTAAATTTATTTACAAGGATTAATTAATTAATTGTAAAATTGTTAATAAATATGTGTCTGTTTAAAGAACAAGAAGTAGTCATTATGATAATAAAAAATTCTTATTTTAATTTAAAAAAGAGAATTGTGGAATTCTAAAAAATATCGTGACTTCGAAAATTTGTGTAAATTACAAAATTTCATATGTTAGAAAACATAAGATTATAGTATTAAAACTTGATAATAATATATTATAAGAATAAAAATAAGTTTTCAAAACAAAACAAAAGATATACATTTTTTGTCTGATTTGACGTAGAATCGCCTGCCTATATTTTTTTCTATGTAAACTTATTATAATAATCAATAAGTTAAACAAGGACGAAGTAAGAGTCAAATTACAATTAAAAATCTAAATAACTCTGATCATTTATTCTAATATATTGCGAAGAATATCACTACGTCGATTCGTCATCAGAGGTCTATCGATATTCGCAAATTCTCGTAAATGCTGAGATACGCGTATATCTCTTTATATAGAATCTCGATTTAATAACTTACTAAGGCGTATAAGGTAGGCTTCCACTACAATGCCTTACTGATGAGTCTAGTAGTAGAAGCCGGGTAAGAAATATATGTACGAAACGCCAAGTAAGAAATATATGTGAAATGTCTCCTCCCCTCCCCAAATATTGCGCGCCGAAGGATTTCGGTCTTGAAACGCAACTATAAATGCTAAACCTAGAAAACTGTGAATTTAACTTGAAATGACATACAATGTATTATCCGCATTATTACAGCCTGCGGTTTGAAAACTAATAAATTGAAAATTTAAAGGACTCTTTCATATAATAATAATCAATTTCATATAATAATCATTTCATATAATAATAATCAATAAGTTAAACAAGGGCGAAACTTATTATTTTCAAACGTTATTTTCACAGTAATTGTTTTGAACTATTCTATAATTGTTTCAGAAAAGTTATCAACCTGGAAATTATTGAAGAAGACTCCTATGAGAAGGATGCTCTTTTCTATGTCGAATTGGGTGAGCCAGTACTGCAAGGAGGTGATTAAATCTTTTATCAATTTGATTAAATTTTTAGTACTGAATTTTCCGACATACTTTGAAGTCGTTACGATAATACTTCCTTTTCCCATTTTTTTCTATACAGGACCAAGCATTTAAATCGGTATAAGAAACAAAAAAGTTCCCGAGATTTGCAAAAAAATTTGCAGTCAATGAAGTGAATGTGATACAATAAATTATTTTAACGTATTTGAATTATTTTTTAGTAACAAACATTTCAATTATTTTTCTAAAAAAAATTCGTAATTAGAGAAATACATAATTTTATAGGATTGTGATTTTTCTCTAAGGAGCTTTTTTGCATGCTCGTAAGAAAATCTGATACACAAATTTAAATTGCTTTTTATCGTACTTTATATCTATATGTTTATAAGCGAAATAAAAAGCAAAATCTCGATTTAAACTTTCGGCATTTGATTTCGATAGCGCCGTCACTTGCTTACGTTGTTCTTTTCACTTGATCCAATGCAATTTTTGCTGATACTGAAGTTCGGTGAAAGACCTTTCAGTCTCTTGACGAGGATAAATGTGATGGGAAAACTTTAACTCTAACAGGAACACCATATAAAAACTTATCTATTTTTGAGCAATTAAATTTAATTACGATAAAAACGATCAGCTTTAATATTTAAATGTGCTTAAAATCGAAATAGTATTAATAATAAATACTCGATATTTATAAAGAAAACTGTTAATATTTAATGAGCAACAGTATAAAAAACTATTAAATGTCTGTATTACCTCTTTATTTGCCTACAGGTATCTTAAAAAAGGTTTGCTAGTTCAATTTATGTAATCAAAGGAAGCTTTAATAGTTTTATAATTCAACAAAATATTTAATGGAAAAGAAAAAACAAAAAAGAAATGTCGATCGATAAAAGCACGAACGTGACGATTGGCGACGCTATTGAGATTAATCGTGATTAAATACATAAATAAATCGATATTTCACGATAAGAACGCCGATGACTTGTTTTTGATAAAAATTGATTTCCACGTCTCTTCATGCATGTATCACGGGTTGGTTCTCTGCCTGGATCCGTCAATCATAATTGAACGTAAGTCTTGAATAAATGGACATTTTGCGCTTGTCCAAATTCTTTCTTGCGCATCAAATAGTCCCGCGCTGATTAATTTAATTAACTGTCACAGTAGTATGTACACATTTTAATACAGACGGATTTTTTATTCACCGCGAATTATTATTTTCAGTATTTTCAGGAATTTTTCACAACAAAATCAGAAAGGAATAATATTTCTTATAATTGTTAATATATATGTACGTATATATTAATATTATAATTTTATCTATATTGTTTTTTAATATTTAAACGTTCTTATTGTTTTATATTTTTAATATTGGATTAGAGAAAAAGTTCTGCGGTTTTTGTTAACTCAAAACTATATATACAATATCTTTTTTCATAAAAAAATTAACAAAATTTAAATCTTAAAACATGTTTTAAAGCTTGAAATTTCTACTTTTAAAAGGTTTTTATAATTTTTTAGTTCATGTGAATTTAGAAATTTTTATATGTAGAAAACTATACAAGCTGAAAAAAGGAAAATTTTTCTTTTCACTTTATGAGTCTGTTCTATACCAAAAAAAAAAAGAATTTGCGAAAATTTTCGACCATCTAATATAAAAGCTTAAAGTTTTTCTAAAAAAATTGTTTTTAAAAAACGTTCCTACAATTTTTTGTTCCTGAGTTACTTGCAAGTTAAGTAAAAGAAAACATTTTGAATTTTATTGTTTATAACTCTGTTAAAAATTATCGTACCGCAATTAAAAAATCAGATTCTTAAAGCTGAAATTTTACTCTATCGAATAATATAATTGCTAATTTTTTGAATGTACAATATACTTGTACAATTTGAGCTAATAAAATATCGCATTTTCTCTAATCTAATATAAATTAAAATAATAATATATATATAAAAGAAATTGTATAATTAAGTTTTTTATTAAATTTTCCACCTTTTATGATTAGTTGTTTCATTAGATGTTTATGCACAATTAAAATGGAGACGTCTTTCTGTAAACAACACAAAAATAATTCTTTTTTTCTTAGTTTGGATAAAGAAATCAAGCTTTATATTTATTCAGTTATTTATAATTTTCTATGAAACTTGAAACACAGGCTTAAAACAGTCAGGTAACGTCCGCTGTAGTGCTTCTCCATACTTATTAATGGCTTTGCCATAACACAAGGCTTCATTCATGATAATGGTAGAATAGAACGTTATTGGAATAGATTGCTTGTTTCGCGTAAACTAAAAGAAGGATGCAAAAATAGTGTCATTGCCGACCGTCTTGTTACATTTTTGTAATTAGAGTGACAAATTTTAACGAGTGTGCACGTGATTCTCGCAGACTTTTGCAATACTAACTGCACTAAAATTTTGCACTAGCTTCCATGATTATTTATAATTCAGATTTATAACATCAAATTATATATTCCATGTTAATTACGTTTTCTATGATATCTCTATTCACAAAAATGTATGTTACATACAACGTGTCGCTTCTAACGTTACTATCCAAAATATTTCCGTTATTTTTAAAAGAAGAATTTTCAAGAAGAAATTGATCAATGTAAAAAGATTAATATTATATGATAAAAACATTTATATAACATATCTTCGTTGTTTGCTTTAATATGATATTAATAAAAATAAAGAATTTTATTGGTAAAATAACGGTAACTTTAAAATCTAAAAAGATATAGGTAGACTAAATACTTTATTTACTATAATATTTATATTATAATATATAACTGTAATATTTATTCTTTCAAACCATATAATTTTTTTCTAAAAACTTTTAAACAAAGACAGATATTTCGGTGATTACGTCGAGTGAATACTTCGTATATAATATAACGACTTTATTTAATTATATGAAACTCAAAAGAGCTAACGAAGATAAAAAAAGAGCTAACAAAGATAAAAAAGATAACATATTTATATCTTTAAAAACAACAATAATAAAGTATATTTTTTAAATGTTTTATTTTGTTTGTGTATATTAAATTTATATATGAATAAACAGAGAAGGAAATATTAAAAATGAGTAAATAACATATTAAAATATAAATAATAAAAAAGTAAATAACAGGATGTTTAAATCATTGCTAATAAATCACTAAATGTAATAATTTCAGAAACGTGCTTGCACAGAATTTATCCATATTTTTAGCAACATTATCTAAAACATTCCGTGACTTTATGAGCATTTTTGTCTCTCAATTAACTTTTTAATTTCAACTTGATATATCGGCAGATTGCACAAACAAAGAGCCTTTGATCTTGATGTCTTTTTCTCGGTGAATAAAAATCGTCTGATTTTCAACGCTCACGTCTACGTGCAAGTTACGATTTGCATACTACAAGATCACGGAAACACGTGCAACGTGCAATTGTGATGATACAACTCATGTATATGCACATTACATCATGCACCAACCATGAAACGATTCTCACTTCTCACTCTCTGTAGCTTCTTCGATCAACTCTCATTGTAATAATTTTTGATCCAAATTCTATATTACCAGCAATTTTTCGTATTATGTACTTTTAAATACAATATTGAAAAATCTCTATCTATATATATATTTTTTATTTTTCCAAAAAAATGCGTCATTTTTCAGAGAAATATTACAAAAAGATTATAATTCTAGTCTCGTTTTCCAAATTTTTCTGTACTGTAGTATCTACTAATAAATAAAAATTTAGTTAAAATAAAGAGAAATAACAAATTAAAAAATATAATTCTCTTTCTCTTGTTTCTTTTTTAAATTTATAAATTAATGAATTTCGTAATTTTAATTAATAATAACAATGTAGAATACAAATAAATTTCTAGATTTTTTGTTGGGGAAAGAAATACCAAGAGACTTGATAGTGTTTTAAGCTAAGTGCACGCGTGAGCGATTCATGAAGATGAGACGTGTACTTATACTTTTGCAATCCATCTCGTTGAGCTGAAGCTTCATCATGGTACCTCTACCTTTAGTAACGCTAATGTTAGTGGTATTCAAACTTTGAAGATTTAGAACTACTTAGAAAGTTTTTAATGAAAAGGCTCATAACCATTGTTCCTAAAATGCCACAACAATAGCTACAAGAATAAAAGAATCCTTGAAAGAGAGAGAGAGAGAGAGAGAGAGGGTTGGAGGGAGAAGGAGCGGGGGGGGGGAGAGAGAGACAGATCTTGAAGTAATTATTCTCTCTCTACCTCTTTCTCATTAAGCAACTTTTGTTTAATACATCTTTTATATATAGAATTATAATTATAACAATATTTATATGATGATATTGATGATGACACTAGTGATAATGATAATAATTGTAATAGAATAACAATAGCAACAACAATAATACTGTCTGGAATAATATATTTCTTTAGACATGTTAAACATATTTACACTGTTTACACATACGTTTTAAAATATGTAATATATTATTTCTAAAGGAGGATGATATTATTATATATTAAAATATAAATTAGAAGTATGAAACAAAATATTTTGATGTTTCCAAAAACATCTTAAAAATTAATAAAATATTTATGAGTTTTTAAATTTAGAGAGGAGTGTCGACAAAATGATTGGCAATTGTTTAATTTGCTTACAATTGCGTTGCCTACAATTCAGTTGCATAATCAGCAGCTCTAATTGCATACTATGAGACTACAAGCGTTATTATGCATAAGTAATAATTTGAAGTACGGATTTGCGGTAAGCCGCAGAGTATTATAATTTTACTAATGTATATTACGAGCCGCATAACCACACATAAAATGATTAAATCAGGCTAATAGTTCGTATAAGTATTTATTGTTAATAGCATAGTTGTTTGTGTTGCTAAAATTTCGAATATTATGAAAATTTCTCGAGCATTTTATGCACGCTATTCTAGTTTAATCCGCGTGGAAAGTTGCAAACCTATCTGGAATCGGGTATGTAAATACTGTAAAT